GATGTCGGGCTGGCGGCCGGGCAGCGAGGGGGGCCTGGGGCGGGGGCCTGGCACCCCCGGGCTGGGGCGATGCTGTGAGAGCTTGGAGGTGCGGGAAGGACCGTGCTCTGCTCGGCCGGTGTGAGGGGTGCTAATCCCCGCGGGGTCCTGAGCCTTCCTCGGCTCTTCCTGATGCAGCTGGGATTCCTCAGACCTTGATTTTTCAGGAGAATGTGGTGTTTTGCTTTGTAGCAATTGTTTCATTGCTATAGTTAATAAAAAATTATCCACTCTCAGAAATCTATAACTCTGCTCCACCTGTATACATTAATGATTAGTGTATAAATTGAACAAAGATCATTTCACCCATCTGCTGCCTCACGATGCTGTAAGAGTGTGAGATCGTGCTAGGTGTTGGCTTGGAATAGGAGGTCTTTGGCTGGAGAAAGCTGTTTTTTCAAGAGATGTTAAGCACCCAAATCTCAGATTTGCTGGGAACTGAAGGTATTTTGCATTTTTGAAGTAAATATGTCCACTTTTGGTCTCGGGCTGCTAAGCCCTATTGAGAATTGGTATGTTTAATTTGTAATAAAGTAATATGTGCATGTATCAGCTTGTCATTCATTTTGGGACTATACTATACCAAAGGTATGTTACAAAAGCATATCCTCAATAGTATTTCCCTGCAGAAACTCCTAGTAATCTAGTTCTTTCACACATTTGACATGTAAGTCTTTGTTTTGTGAGGTTAATATCAAAAGAGTAATTCTTCCTGAGGCCAGAACAGTGCTTCTTGATCCTTGTATTCTGCTTTTCATTTACTTGTTTTAATGAAAAAAGGTCAAGTGAATCACTTTAATGACTACACAATTGTTTATGCACATTTACGTTATTAATAGGTTCTTAATGCTTTAAAGCTTCCTGCATATTTTTCTCATAATTGGATTCAATATTAATATAACACTTTCCAAATAACCCTGCTGCCTTTTTTGTTTTAACATGTGAAAGAAAACTATATTTTCTTTCTCAAGACACATAAATCTAATGGCTCTTGTTGATGAACTGCTTGTGTGAAAGCACGCAAAGGCCTGCCTGTCTGTCACCTGTGTAGGAACAAGTCCTTTCCCCCATGTGAGAATGGCAGTTCCCCTGCAAGGAGGCCTGTTTTTGCTGAATGTCCTCCTGGTTTTATAGCAAGATTTATTTCCTCTGAACTTGTCTGAGCATCAAATAGGGAAAAGGATTAGCGGACAGATTTGGTATCTCTTGCGCTCCCTTCCAGTTACATCTTTTGTAATGCTACGAGTGCAGTTCATTCAGAAGCAGGAACTGTACGTGCTGTTAGCTGTTGTACTGCTGCTGAGCTAGAATTAGAGATCGTGGAAAAGCTCCACAGCTGTCAGTTTGGAGAGCTGTCTAGACCTTTCTCTTTTTTTCTCTGTCTTTGCCCTGCTATTCTCAGCTGAGTCGTTCATCTTATTTTTTACAACAGGGATAATGTGGAGTGGTCAGAAGAGCAGGAAGCCAGTGCCAGGAGTAAAGTTCAAGAGAACAGCTCACAGCTATTGCCACAAGATAAACAAGGTACTTTTGGATGCTATTGTAATGCTGAGTTTTAACTTGTTCACACAAGAGTGGAACAGTCTGGCCAGAGCTGCATATGCATTATCATTTATTCCTCCCTTCCCCCCATCTCCTGAATCGTTCAAAATACATTACCTAGCGGTTTTTCATTATCAACCACTAGGTTGATAAGCAAAAATGGAGGAGGAGGAGGAGGAATCTTTCTGTTCTTAATTTACCTCTCTGTGACTTTTTCCACCTTCTCCAGAGACTCATCCTACTAGAACAGAAATGATCTTGTCTGGGAGGAGTCATCCTGGGTTGAGCTTCTTTGTTGATGTTGTGTATGTTTAAATACTTGTTAGTGTTTCTTGTCAACAAACTTCTTTCAGCATAGAGCAACAGCCTCATTTAGTCTTGTTTTCTCCGCTTGCTTTTGCTTTCTAAAGCTTAACTTCTAACAGGCAGTCTTTTGTTTGCTTGCATGCTGTGGAGCTATCCCTAATGCAAACTTGTTTTTTCTCTTAAGAGGGTCTAATAAAGTGGTGTCCATATTCATCTCTACCAGGTTAACAAATGATTAAATCAAAAGCAAAGAAAAATTATTTTATCTGGATTGAAGTGTTTATTATCAGAGAGGCAGAAAAAGGACTCAAGTTTTTTTTTCTCAAACTTGGCTTACAGGATATTTATACATCCAAAATGCAAAGCTTACCTGAATCTGAATCAAGCTAAAGGTGCACAGCTCTATAGGCAAGTAATATGGTTGAAGCTGTTCCAAGCTGGTTAATAATGCATCTTTCCTCCACACTTTTTAGATACCATCCAGTCCCTTAAATGATGGTGAAATGGCTTCCTGTTCTTTGATATGATAAGAGACTCTTTTGATGATGATCTTGTTACACCCTGCCGAGTTCTAGGATGGGTCTGCTCCTTTTGTTCAAATTAAATTGAGTGTTTCATCTGTAAGGCAATGCTGAACACTATTGGAGCTATTGAGACACTTCCCATATAGCTTCCAGTTGTGTTCACAATAGCAAATTTAATTATACCAAAGAGCAACCCTCCTAATTTCTTGGATTCCCAGAAGTATCCAGCAGTTTCTATTGTGATACCCATTGTGTTGAGTTCATTTTAAAATCTGGTTAATATTAAAGGATGCTGTCTGTCATGCTTTGAGAACCTATATACAACTATGAAATTGTGGAGCAATTTACTGTTAGAGCAGTTTGTCAGGTCTTCATGATGTATTTCCCAGACTGAACAATGGAGGCCAGTCAAATTTTGATGGCTGCTATTCAGTGGGAAGCGTGTGGAGACAATGGGATGGCTGAAACATAGGGAAGCCAGCCCAGCCAAATGTGCCTGAAGGGTCTAGTATTTTGAGAATCAGTAATGTCCAAGCAGGAGAACAAAGGCAGGCTATTGGTCATTATGGCTGTATTATTCTGTGGACTTCTTGGGGCTGTCAGAATTTGTTCTGAAGAAGGAGGGAAGTTCCATGGGCTATGTTGAAGATGTGTCTCCTGACTGGGAACAAAGAAAGAAGTGGAAGAGTTTCTTGGTTTCTTTTTGAGGCTCCATAATTAGCCCCCATGCAATTCAGGGGATCCCTGATTCTCTTCCTGTATTTTGTGAACAGTTATTTTTGTTTGCACTTCTTCTGCAATCTGAAAGGGTAAGTATGGGCTTGACTTTGTGGGTGTCCTTACAAAGATGAGCAGAAAGGTCAGGAGTCCTTACCAAGAAAGTCTGAAGGAATCTGGCTCGCACGCCAGCGTCGCCATAAGCTAATGCTACAAAAAGGATCTTGAAGCAAGTAGTATGTGAACTTTTCTGGCATAAAGGAAAGTTGTGCAGGAAGTCAGACTGAAGAATTAATATGGTCATTTTTTGCTTTAAATCTGTTTATTGCATAATTTTTGTCAGCTGGCCCTTGATTTTTTGCATTTATATTGTTACTGATCCTTTATTCCAGTGCTTTGAAAACACTAGGCTATGAGGTAAATGAGCTTTAAATAAAGTGTCCACACATGTGGGTTGGAGCATACCAGCTGTTTAATAGCATCCAACAGAATTTCACAGTAAGTGAACACAGGAAGAGCACAATGTCTTGTTCAGCGTTATACCATGGCAAAAGTGTGGGTAATGCAAAATGGCTGGATTGGAATATTGCTACAGCACCTCAGGTAAGCATCCCATTACAGTCAGGCTGTGATGGGATTGCTAGGGACCATCAGGAATCAGGACTGCGTATTTTTGTTAGCTGAAAGAGCATTTCCAGCCCCAGCAGCCTTGCATGTCCCTACTAGGGCATGGACCAAGTGACAATTCAGGAAGGGGTGCACCAGGGACTGAATGAATTACACTTCGTCCTCTGACATTAGCAGTCATTGAGTTCTCCAATGCAAATAATGAACTGCCTTGACTCTGCTTGCTTTGAGCTATGGTGAGATCATGGCACAAACTTACTGCTCTAGTCTAATATCAGACATGATAATTTCTTGGGGTTTAAGGACAAAGCTTCCTAAAAGGAGAAAATCCTTATAGTTGAAGTAGAGAGATTATTTTTATAGATAGCTCTTTGTGCTTCAGGGATAGATCATACTAAAAATACATATATGACTGACTTCTTGTTCTTTGTTAAAGCCATTTTTGTCTATATTTGGCTGAGGCTACATATTTTTCTGGGTGTTCTTGGTTCATTTTACTGTCTCCCTTCAGATATCTTCTAAACACTTGTATGCTTTTCAGAAAGACTAATAAATAAACTGCAGTTCAGATAGTAATACTAATCTCCAATTTTATGATGCCTGCTTTTTCTCTTAACCTTACTCTTAGTAGATGTTGGAGAGAGGTTATGCCATTCTCACATACAGTCGTTGTCTTTAATTGTGGGAGAATCGTTTGCATTCAGTAATGTACTTGTTGCTGTGCAAAGATGGCTAAGGAGTTGCATGTTATTGAAATGCAGTTGGGATCTCTGGCTGTGGATGTTAATGCCTCCAGGTGATTGCAAGCATAGGATGTTATAATTAGCTCTTATTTCCCAGGACAAAGAACTCATCACATTGATGAGAATTCAAGAAGCCAGTTGGAGTTGTAACTTCCCATGGAAAAAATAGATCCCCCAGAACTGTACTTGATCTGAAATCTGTGAAGGTGTGTGGAAATAATTCTGTGGGAGACTTGAATTTCATTAGATCGTGGCTTTGTAAGAGTTCTTCTAGCTTTCTGTAATACTTATCTTGCTGCTGGAATGTATTCAGTTGGTGTGAAAATGATAATGCTTCCTGCTAAAGTTAATTTATATAAATCTTTAATCTATCCACCTTAGCTCTCCACTGTTACCTTAATGGCAGTGGTCACTTCTGTTGATTCCCCTTTTTTGTTTTAATTTCGTAAGTGTGTGATGTTCTAACATGCACAGAACTACGGAAAACAAAGTGCTGTAGACTGGACTCTAGCAAAACTTCTGTAAAACATGCTGTCCTGTAATCTTAGAGTATTGTGCAAGTGCTAATTGAACTTTCTGACAGGCCTAACTATAGTTAACTAATGTTTCTGTTTCTCCATCTGAAAAAAAGAGGTAGCATGTTGGACAGGAGCTCTTCAGCTCCAGGCAGCTGTCATAGAATTCCTTAGAAGTTGTAAGTGCTTGACAGTGTCATGAGGCTCCAAATTAATTGTTCCAGTGAACTTAACAAGTTAGTGTTAGAGACAGAAGTAAAACCTGGATTTCTTCATTCCAGCCTCCTTCAAAGAGGTCTTTTCTTTTGCCAGCTTCCTTTAAATCCTACCAGGAGACAGGCAGTTTCCTTTTCTATCTGTTTTCCCTGTTTTAGTCCTAATAAAGTAACTGTGAGGAGGCAGGCTGAGTGTTCATGTGGGATGACACAATTTAAATAAAGGTGATTTTCAATCAATAACCTTACTTATTAAAGCGAATTGCTGAATAGATGTCTGCAGTGATCCCTGACTGATTAAACTCTGAGACCTTCTGATTTGACTGCTGGTGATGTTTTTGTTTGTGTTTACAGAGGAATACGAGGTGAATGCTAAGAGGTACTGGGATGACTTTTACAAAATCCATGAAAATGGCTTCTTCAAGGACAGGCATTGGCTGTTCACTGAATTTCCTGAGCTGGCACCTAACAGGAACCCAAATAAAAATGGGGATTCTGTGCATGAATTTAGTAACAAAGAAGAATCCAAAAATGAAGGGCTGGCAAGCTGTGAAAATGGACATTGTGCATTGGAAACCAGGGCAGCGAACCAGTTAAACCTGATAAAAAACACACCTAAGATCTGCACAGAGGAGTTGGCTACACAGAAGTATAGTGAGCTGAATCAAAGTGATGGAGATTACCCAGGATCATCTGCATCTTACCGTATATTAGAGGTAATAGCTGTAAACCAGAGTGTCACACATCAAACAATCCCTGGTGTCACTGTTAGTGTGACTGGGACATAAAAATATGTATCACTGGCAAACAGCGAGTGAGTGGGATGATTGCCTTAGTTCAGTAAAATGCAAAAAACAGAGGGTAGCTTATAATTTAATTCTGTTGGGTTTCTTTTGGTTCAGAGTGTGAATTGGCAGAGCACAAAGACCGTAAGAAGTTTCTGAGTTTAAAAGACAAACTATTACTATCAGCTGTTGAAACAATCATTTAAAAGTAATCTTCTGAAGAAGCTGATTCTTTTACTTGCCTGTATAAAGCTTTCCCTTGTCATTTGTTTTGCATGTTTTTGCTGACTCTTGTTTGCCTTGGGACATGCGAAACAAAACAACAAAACCAAGAATGTAAAGATGCTCTTTGGTTTGTTCCTTATGGCCCATGTAATAACAGAGAATCTCAGACTGATACAGAGTTTGTGCCAGAGGAGTCTGTAGGAATGACAGCCGATAATGACCTTTTGCTCTGCCACCTGTAGTTTGTAGATATCACTGCTGTTGTTGGATTCTTCATGTTCTTGGAAGTTCCACCCTTCCAGGGAGAGTCAATATGAGCTGTCCTTCCAATTTTTTAATTTAATCTGAGGTCTTGAGACTTCCTCAGACTTTGGTGTTCTTGGGTCCTTGTGGCTTTCCTGTCTGTCTCACTTGAGTACTTTCAGTAATATCTGTCACTACAAGCCATCAGTGGTGTTTTCTGCTCAGTCTATTTCAATTTTACTGATTCCTTAAATATTCAGAGGCAAATTCCCCAAACCCAGTTGTGTGCGCCATCTTCTCTTCAAATGGGAACAAGTGAGAGGAACAAGGCAGAATCTTTTTAGGCCTAGTTGTAACTTGAGGAAGAGCCATCTAGTGAAGGAAACTCTGAAACAGCAGGATGTAATTACAATAATGCAAACTCCTTTCTCCATTGCCCTGATTTTCTGTGGAAGTGAATGCAACTAATCCATGGCCTTTGCCAATGCTTCAGTGACTCATATTGGTTGTTATGCTTGGGATTACAGCAATAACAGTTTCCAAAAGAGTAAAAATATATAGCTTGTTAGTAAGATTTCTACGAGAACTGGCTTAGTGGTTTCCCACAAATGCTTGTATGTAAGCCTGCTCCTCAGAGCTGAACACACTCGGATCCTGCAGTGAGATTTGCAGATGGATGCTGCTATGCTCAGTTGTTACTCATGAGTTTCTCTTTGTTCCATGGCTGTAAAGAGATGATTTGAAATTAGCTGCATGAGGCAAGCTGAAGAAATTATTTTCACTATGTGTACACCTACTTTGTTTGTGCAGGTTGGCTGTGGTGCTGGAAATACAGTCTTCCCAATTTTACAAACCAACAAGTAAGTAGTTCTCAATAGGTTTTTACCTGCATGATATACTAGCCACTGAAGAACAACTGGAAAAATATTGCACGTGTTCTTAGTTTAGACAATCTCAGAGGAAGGCCAGATGCAAATGGCACATTTGCCATGTGCGACTTCAAATGATTGTGTTTTGAGCTTAGGAATCTTTGGTTTTAGAATGCACAACGTATTACTGACAGAGATAGACTAAACCCCAGGATTTCTGGCTCCCAATTCTGTGCTCTGTGCATGTGAAACACTTCTGTAATTCCTGTGGAGCACCTTTATGTAAATGATGATGGTTTCTTTTATTTATTTCAGTGACCCAGGCCTTTTTGTTTATTGCTGTGATTTTTCTACAACAGCTGTGGATCTTGTCCAGGTAAAGTCAGTGGTGACTTATGAAGGTAGGAGGTACATGGTGACAATTGCACACTAACACAAATACATCACAGCTGCCACCAACTGTCTAGCTGTGTTGGCAGCTTTCTGTTTTTAGATATCTCTGATGCTGACCCTTATACTGGTAAATCAGGAAAATGAGCCATCAGAGATTGTAGAAATGAGGGAAGTTGAAGTTCTCAAAATGTCACATTGGCAGCAGACAAGTCAGCCAGATTTTCTTTCCCCTGTAGTTGGCAGTACTTTTCTAAATC